AAGACATACAATTGTTTTATTGAGCAAAATAATTATAATATATAGATGTAAATAATATAAATTTTCAACCAAGATTTCATACTCAAATAAAGTGTGGCGCTGTTCTAGTGGTGTCATGTTTATTTCGTGTAAAATTGTTGTGATACGTGAATTTGTATTCTGCTGTTTTTTAAATAATACAATTTCATAATTTACATTGTCTAGATCTTTATTCTAGAATTATTTTTCCCAATAAACATGTTTTGTAATTCACCCAGACCCTGAAGATGGCTCAAGTAAAGCTCGAAACGCAGCAAAAAAATGAAAAAAAAAATTTCCCCCTAAAATACCTCATTCCTGATCTCTTCTCATTACTTCAATAAATTATTGAACAAACAGTCGCTAAAAAAACGCACACTAAATTTAGTAACGAATCTTGGTATTTTTTTGAAAGTTAACACGTGACTTGTTAGGAATGGTATGTCCTGTGAAAATAAATAAGCAAAATGTAATGTGTTTCACATATAGTTTGTCTAAAATTGATCCTCTAGTCTTACGTTTTGGTTTTCTTAAAATAATCGAATAGTGAATCAGGAAAGATTTATTTATTTATTTATATTTTGTTTGACTGGGCTCCCGACATCTAGGTCATTTCAGCCCCCAACTAATTCTATAGTCTATTTACCCTTTCAAGCACTACATTCATACAAATAAATACATTCATACACATAAATACATCCATACAGTGCACTCATTCCGTTTGGTCGGTGGAGTACGTGATATTACTCCACCGACCTATACTCAAATTAATCGATTGGGGTCGATGGAGGACTTTTATCAATATTCCGTCATCGACCCCGAACACACACTATACGCTCTCAACGTTCGAGGGGCGATGATGACGTTATATTTCACCCTCACCCCTCGCCCTTCACGCTGATAAATACATGCACTCAGACAAAACATATAGACACACAACACATAAGACATATATACAATAAAAAACTCCAATTTCCCCTAAAAAGCCGAACAGGGGACCCAGAAACCCGCTGCTGTGCTCGAGTACCATTTTAAGATTGGATGGCATGCCAACACGCACCCTGTAGGGAGCCAAGGCATGACATATTTCCAATATGTAGGGCACATCGAGCAACCTTTCTCTGCATAAGGGGCACCTCCGCGGGTTTTGGCCCAAGAACAGGTGCCCGTGTGTCAACCGCTTATGGCCTATTCTTAATCTCGTAAGGACGATTCCTTGTTTCCGGCTTAGGTTCTCGGGGGGGGGGGATTTATTGTTCAGTATGAACATAGAAAAAATTAGTGTCAAGGCTTTAGAAAATCATAATCTGAAGAAATATTTTTCCCCCTATAAATCTCTCTAGATTTGCTTCCCACAAACTATTACTTATTATAAAAATTACCAGAGGTATCTGTAAATAAAAGCATAGAACGAATAACATGGCGAGAGTTAGAAAAATCGTCAAAATAGAAAACTGCGCGAAAAATTTGACCAGAATTCGAAATGGGACTCAACATTATTGATCATAATCAGCAACGTTGTAACAGTATAGGATTTATACGTAAATATGATTTTCGCTGCGTTTATGAGGTGTACGTAAATCAAACGGGCGATTGCAGTTACGGCCTATTTGATATCAGACTCGACCGTTTTTACAAGGCAGTAAATGTCCCTAGATTGATTATTACGCCAACGAAAACGTTGCTTGTTAAAACGTAGATAATGAATTATGTTAGATGACGACATAAAATCATGGTTAAATGGCCGTTACTTCTTATTGGTTTCTTGTTTTTATTGGATGAGCCTAGTTGTACCGTTCGCGGTATTGATACAAATGTTTAGATTTCAAAATGGTATTAGATTTAGTAACTATCGTTGTTTCATTCCAGTTGTTAATATTTTCTTTTACTTTATTGTTCAACATTTTACTTACTGGGATACACGAAAGCATTATATTCCGACATCATCGTTATATGTTGACTACCACTGGCGTTGCTACGAGTGCAATCGGAATTATGTATTTAAGAAAAAATACAAAAACTGATAATTTTACAAACAAATATATTTAATATGTATTTAAATTCTGGCTCAGGTGGTTTGCCATAAGAGCGAGATATTTTGAACAAATTGATGATTTGTTTTTTACATTGACCTATAGTCTTCTATCATGTTAATATTTATTATAAAAAGGGGTTATAAATTCCAGCCAGTTTGTTTAACAAAACCGACCAAAGCCCAATAAATCTTAAAATTTTCTGTGCCCATTAAAAATTTATGATTATACTTAACTTTACATTGGTCTGTCTGGAAAATTTTCTTTCCTTATCGATATGCTTCCAGTACCATGCGATTCCGTGTTTTCTACTTTGTTGCATCCGGCACATAGATTACTCTCTTCCTGACCAATCGTGTGAAGTCACTTTTACAGATACTATGATTTGAGCATGTTTATTCTGACAGTGATAGAAGATATTTACCACCGTGAAGAGCTTGAAGTGGTATAACTTATTATCTAATCCGATACGCTCCAATTGATCTTTTTTTAAAATAACATTGGTGATAATACAATGAAATATTTTAAACTCTTTTTCTACTGATGGTTGTCCTTCAACTCATTTAATTTGTTTATGAGTTTAATTGTCCATTCTATGCTGTAAGATTTGGAGCCGAGACGTTGGTTAATGCACGTCTACAGTGCGTCAAAACCTGATAGATTCTGAATATTCAAGAGCCAAAAGAATTGCATGCACATTTCGCATGTAAAAGATGAAAACTAATCAGGGAAATGGTACGAAGCAATATTGTTAGCATTATTGTTGGAGGAATCACACGTACCACCCGACTTTCTGTCTGTAAAAATAGTATTCGCATTAGGCCATTTTTGGTGCGTCAGATCGGGAAATGTAGCTTATTTCGGTAAGGTCGGGCGTGTAAACAAATCGATGATTTATTTAATCTTCCAATTCCGATTGAGATTATCTGATAACGTTATACGAGGATGTTTTGGACTTTCGCTTGAATTATTGGGTTGTCCGGACAATATGCAGGTTTTTGGTTATAAAATAAAAACAATATTTTAAACTTCAATTAATTAAGGTTTTTAGTTGAGATAAAAAAAGTCAGTGTCACGAGCGGGATTCGAACCCACGATCTTCGGCTAGATACGCCGCTGCTCTACCACTTGAGCTATCGTGGCCTCGATTCACTCGGGCACTAACTTCCCATCTCAACCCCTTCTTGTGAATTTTCCGCAAATACCGCATCTCACGATTTCTGAATAATTTAGTAAATTATACTCATTTTAACTTATTAAATTCACGTGTTTTTGTGTTTTTGTGGTCCGCTTGACCAATTAATATATTTCAATAAATTAAGGTTTTTCTCGAGGTCACGATAGCTCAGTTGTAGAGTAGCGGCTTATCTAGCCGAAGATCGTGGGTTCGAATCCCGCTCGTGACAGTGACTTTTTTATCTCAACTAAAAACCTTAATTAATTGAAATATATTAATTGGTCAAGCGGAACACGAAAACTAGTGATTTTAATATTTTAAACATTTTTTATTAATTAAAATACCCTCCATCACTCTCAATACACTTCTCCCAACGTGATGGTAACTTCTCTACACCCTCTGAATAGAACTTTATTATGAACAAGTCTGTAAGCGCATTTGCTAAAGAAGTTTGAACAATAAATTTTTTATGTTGGAAAACGTTATCCAGGTGTCTGAAAAAATGGTATTTGGTAGGTGAGATGTCTGGAGAATCCAACAGTTCTCGTGTTGTCACATGCGGGAAAAGAAGCCGAACAATGCTTCAATAATGCCAATTTTTAGTGGATTGCTTCAGTTGGAGAGCGATACATTTCGGCATTGATTATTTCGCCAGGGTTCAGGATAATGTAGTAAATCATCCCAAATGAAACCACTTAAATAGTCACCATCACTATGATGAGTTGGGGCTTGGGAAATTGCCGTGCTGCTTCTCCGCTGTCCAGAACATCCTCTGTTATCGTAGAGAATCCATTTTCATAAGAATAATTCTATCCAGAAAAGGTTCGTTTCTGTTTTGGCAAAGAAATGTTTATTGCTGCCGTTGTTCTTTTCATAACGATGATTTTTTTGGCGGTCATTTAATGCCCGAGGAACCAATTCGAGCTTTTTCACCTTTCCAATTGCCTTAAGGTGGTCAGCGACGGCCAATTTGCTAACTGAAAGATTATCTGCAAGCTCTCGAACTTTTTCTGGGATTCTGTTCGACCGAACTCGCAGAACATCATCGTCTAGGCGAGGAAAGGTCTGCTTTGTCTTCAAGGCTAAAATCTCCCTCTTGACATTTTTTAAACCGTCACAAATGGTGCTCTAGTCAAACTGTCATCGCCCGCAAACTTCATTAATGTTTCTGGCCATTTGGGCACCGTTCCGACCGAGCTTAAAGTTTTAAATTATGCGAAAAAGAAGCGTTGACGGGGTAATTGAAAGGAAACTTGAAAGCCGGACAACCCAATAGATGGTGTTGAAGACACCCATCGCGGTTGACCGTTTTCCGTATATAAGGTAGGTATAGTAAAAGAAGAAGAAGAAAAATCGGTGATCGATCGCCATTTTACATGGTTCTCACAATTGAACGAAATGCAGAGGCGGAGCTTAGTGATTCCATGATACGCAAGAGCGGAAAATCGCGTCCGACACGCTTCTGTAATTTGTCTAACATGGAGGATGGAACTGCCATTTCCTAAGTAGAGCCGAACTAAACGTTAATAAAAGTGGAAAATATATTAGGACGTATTGCGGATTGTAATTATATCCGGATTTTCCAGAATGGACAAAGAAACAGCAATCCATCCGATAGAACTGTGACGGACACGCCGAAGAAAAAATTACGTTGAGTTTATGCGAGTCAAAACGTACAAATATAAATGATTAAAAAAAAAATTTAATCAATGAAATGTATAAAAAAAGGGACATAATGACAATAAATCTCAAATGGAGAATTAACGACTTACTTCCGGTCTATGTGTACGAATTTCATATCCATGGAGTGAATGGTGGTGAAGACGTTGGTCGCTCCCTGGACGACACACTCTCTGGTCTCGGGCATGGCAACCGGTGTACATGTAGCCAAGAAGACTGGCTCGTTGCGAGAACAAAGCGGTAGGAAGGATAGGTAATGGCCCTGGACGAGTACGACCTGAAAAATAACGAAGATAATTATCGACAAATTTCTTAGCTTGCATAGCACAAAAGAAACTGTTTCTTCAAATCTCGTGAGTCGATTCGATTGATTAGGTTCTAGGTGAACACGAATTTCCTTGTTTAAAATAAAATAACAAAGATGGCAAGATCCACGAAAAATGTCTAGTCCACGGGGCATTCCGTTACATTAAAGGATGCGCTTTTGAAAATCCCTTCTTTCATCATATTATATAATTAACCTATTTTATTGTCTGTTGCTATAATCTAGGAAATTCCACTCGTTTAGGCATAAAAAAATTCATTATTGCAATGAATGACAAATTTAACTAAAGAAACTATTTATACATGTATTTTTTGTGTATCCTCCATAGCACCATCGACTGTCCAGACCTCCTTCATTCTATTTCCTTCAATATCCAAAATTATACCAATAGATCCTGCCAAACCTTCCACCTTCCTTTCCTAAAAGGCGAGTTTCTCAAGTTCACCGGAATTAACAGAATATTGAAAGATGCCAATAATTCACAAAAAGATTTTTTTTCAACTGCTCAATCTTCAATATTAAAAAGCAATTTTCCGAAAAAAATTTCCAAAATTAATCACCAGCAAACTCTTTCCTTTTTTGTACTTTTTAAAAAATTATTTTCTTTAGTATTTCCTTTTAAGCAATATTATTCTCCGTTATATTTTTATATAGATATATTTTTTCTAAATTTTACAAATTTTTATTACCTACTACATTATATTTAATTTAGTTTTCAATAATGCCAAGTTTAACCTGTTCTCATTATGATTAGTAATATATTTGCAATTGTAATTCGATTAGTTTTTTTTCTCAATATTTTTAGTATGTTAAAATTATTAAGAAAACTTATGTATTATTTAATTTCAATCTATGTATATTTTTACTGTTGTTTTACTTTTTTTATAAGTATTAAATGGGCTCTGCCCGTATGTAAAATAAATCAAATAAAATAAAAAAGTTGCAACTCGCCCAATGTGGACAGGACAGCTCGGCTGACTATGCCAGATTTTGCTCATGTGTTGACTTTTAATTACCACTTCCCAGTCGCCCATTTTCTCATAAAGTCGGCACTGTCTATCCGTGGAAACGAGGACGATTCTTCTTTTGGACTATTTAACGTTTTTGAAGTAGTTAGGATATCCCTACGATGCAAATGGAAAGTATTTTTTTACCGATTATTAGGAGATCGTGAGATGCGTTCTGGTGTGACGTAGGTTTTAGAAAAACATTTTCGTTATCGTGCCAACGTTTCGATCTTTATTGAGATCATCTTCAGGGCCTGGGATTTATAAACATTTTTCAAATTATACAAATACATGTAGGATGTGAAAAAGTGAATTTGTACAGTGCTACAAATTTCAGACTCAATCAAAATATTTGTACTCACTCAAGTATTTTTTACGTTTATATTTTAAAAATATATTTATTTGTAAATACTCTGTTATAGCCAATTAAGGTAAACAAAAAAATTTGGTTTAGTACAACATAATATTTAAATTAATAAACATCAAATAAGACATACAAATAAAAGTATGTATGTAAGGTAAGTATAATAAATTAACAAAAAAAACCATAATAATGAATCAAATAATATTTAACTTCTGATGAGACTTTTTAATTTGAAACTTTCTATACACAACATCAAAATGCCATTTATTTATTTAAGTCAGCACAATTTAAATCTACTAATATATTACATTTTATGTTTGAATGCAAGAAATATTTTGTTAAATATTTTGATCTAAAAGAAGCCAAGATAGGGCAGTTAGTTAAAAAGTGTATTAAGCCATTAGTAGCCTGCGAGGTATGTAAAGAACACATTTATCGAAATTGAAGTAAAATTTCTTTCTGTTAAAAGAATTACTGCAAATCTTTTTGTTAGCTATATTATTATTGAAATGTGGCTCATTCAAGTTAAAGTTGCACAAAGAACAATAGGTATTATATGGATCGTTCAAGAAAGACTCAACATTTAGGCTGATAAGATTATTTTTGAATGAATCAATCAAACTTTCATAATGTTTCTCATCTAATTTCAAATCTTGAGCCCGAAATGCTTACACCAAGTAAGCAATAGATAATTTCGGAGTTCATTCACTCCAGTTGAAAGAGATTGTATTATTATGTACTAACTCAAATTAACATACCTATCTTCCAGGCTTGTGAAATGTTATCACTAAATTCACTAGTTTCGTGGTCCGCTTGACCAATCAATATCGTTCAATTAATTAAGAGATAAAAAAGTCAATGGCACGAGCGGGATTCGAACCCACGATCTTCGGCTAGATACGCCGCTGTTCTACCACTTGAGCTATCGTGACCTCGATTCACCCGGACACTTACTTCCCATCTCAACCCCACCTTTTGAATTTTCCCTCCTTTTTGCCATTTTTCAAATGTCGTGTAATCTATTTGATTCCCGGCGACAAATGATATGGCCACGGAGAGCTTTAGTGAAGGTATACTCCATTTAAACTTATTAAATTCACTAGTTTTCGTCGTCCGCTTGACCAATTAATATCTTTCAATTAATTAAGGTTTTTAGTTGAGATAAGTTATCACTAAAGATGGGACCCGAATTATATACGATGTAAAAAAACTAAATGGTTGTTATTGTTTCCACGCGTTTAACTTGTCTGACCACTAATTGAATGAACAACAAGAAAAATGGAGATACAACTACAATTTACTAACTTCAACAAATTTAGATAACATTGCTTGGTCAAGTGATGGTCCGGCATTGTAAAAATCGTCCAGGGTTCGAATCTAGCGGCCCTGCATTCGAACCCGACATACTTACAAATGGGCTTTTTTTCAAAAACACCGGCACCCTAAGGATTTATATGACCTCTGCTGTTGCGAAACCTCGTAAAAGAAAAAAAAGAAAAATAGAGTGAAATGCACGTTTTCTTCCATATTTGAATCCGCCAAAAAATGACGTGAATGGTCAATTTCTTGGCATTTTTAAGTTTGATATTCCGAACTTCTTCCCGTTCTTCTTTTCACCATCCACGTCATCAATTTCAGTTAAAATTTCATCATCATTAAGCAGTCTATTAACTGCAAATGGAACGAAGTCCTGAAAAGTGACTGGATTTTCTTCATTTTATAACAAGAGATTTCATCCCACGAGGCTTGGATTTGATTTTCTGGTTTCATGACCGATTATCGTCATTTAGTAAACCATAAGTTCTGAAGCAATTTTTTAAATTTTTTATTGAGGTTGGCGTTACCCTTTTTCATATAAAAAATTACAATTAACGAGTTAACAAAAATGGTTATCGAAGGTGCACTTGCATAAAACTAATTTTAATGTTTAAAACAGTAATAAAACTATGTTGTGGCGTCGGTGGCCGCAACGGTTTAGGCGTTGACACGGCGCTCTTCTCCGTAAGGTAAAGGTACCTGGTTCAAATCCACGGCCCCGCATTCGAACACAAATGCAAATTTGCAATTCAAAAACACCGGCACCCTGAGGGTTTATACGACCTCAGCTGTTGCGAAAACCCTCGTAAAAAACCTGAATGGACCCACACATTCTAACCTGACGTAGAGGTCGGGAGATGTAAAATTTGTTTAAAAAATTTCAACTGTCCGCTTTTAATTTCATTACTTTAATTAGGGGTCCAAATTTCCGAATAGAGTCTACAGCATGCACTTTGAATTCCAACTATCACTTTTACACGATTTTAATAACCCCTTGAGTAAATGGGTTGTTATAGTGCTTTCCCCCGTGAAATGTTTACTGTCTTGCTAGAATTTAGGCGAAGATGAAAACGGAACACACACTTAATTAAATTTTTTACAAATGCTATAAAATCCCTTCCGTACATATGACATTCTATTGAACAAACAGTCCAGATCTAGTGATTACCATAGCCACTGTTTTGATGGTATTGCATTTACACATTTGCAAATATTTTTTAAGTAAATTTAGCTTTCTTGAGTTTTATTCCAAGAACGTGATAGTAAACATCAGCGTTCTTCAATAAATGTATATCTTTGCCCCTAATGTTAATCCAATAGAGTTAGTGAAAAGTTGAGCGATGTCGAACAAGAATAGAGAAAATAAATAAGGGACTGAAAACTTCGCCCTGTAACACCTCGTGAAATACCGGAATTCCTTGGGAGGAATGGGACTTTCTGTGTACGAACATAATAGCATTGTCATACCGTAACGATCAGTAGTAATTTTCGACTAATTCGAAAATTTTAAAATTTATACCTTAGTTTAGTTTGGCTGTGAAAAATGTTCAAAAATCTGAATTATCTGCTTCTGGTGCTAAAATGTCCAGGAAAGATTAGTGTGTGTAGTTTAATTCTAGAAATTAATTAAGGTTTTTAGCTGAGATAAAAAGTCAGTGTCACGAGCGGTATTCGAACCCACGATCTTCGACGCTGCTCTACCACTTGAGCTATCTTGACCTCGATTCGGGCACTAACTGCCCATCTCAACTCCACCTTTTGAATTTTCCCTCCTTTTTGCCATTTTTCAAATGTCGTGTAATCTATTTGATTCTCGGCGACAAATGAAATGGCCACGGAGAGCTTTAGTGAAGATATACTTCATTTTAACATTAAATTCACTAGTTTTCGTGGTTCGCTTGACCAATTAATACCTTTCATTAATTAAGGTTTTTAGTTGAGATAAAAAATCAGTGTCATTAATTGAAAGATATTAATCGGTCAAGCTGACCACGAAAACTAATGCATTTAATTCTAGAAGTTGATCATTGGATGCAATATTGGACCACTTCCCTGGTATACTTCTAGAATTAAAATGTCCAGGAAAAATAGTTTTTTATAACATCAAAAACAAAAAATTGAATTTTTTGACAGTTCAAAGTGATGTGCTCCTCTTAAATAGTTAGGAAGATTAATGTTCCGTCAAATTCAACAGACTGCAAGATTGTTATAATGCAAGCCTTCTTAGTTGGATGTAAAATTGGATCAACCTAAACCAAATAGCA